AGAACAGCATGAACATTCTTCAAAATATCTAATTTTGTGTTCCACTAAAGAGTAAAAGTCAGATGGGTTTGGGGTGAGTAAGTGAAGAGAGAATTTTAATTTTTGGGTGAACTATCCTTTTAACTAGGGTTCTAGTTGAACACTCTTTCGACAAGGTAAATGAGCTTAATTGAATGCTTTACACCATTAAAACTGCCCCAGCAGAGAGGACACCAACCTGTGTGAGTGTGTTCCTACTGTAATGGCTTTTCAGTGTGTATATGAATGCAAACGACCCTCTTTTAAAAGCTCCCCCTCCCCACAAAACATCCATTAAGACATTTCATTTCACAGCCACAAAATGAGAGGGACTCCAATAAGTAACATATTAGACCACTTTAGCTGTATGGTCAACCCTGTTATGATGCAGAGAGTGGATTTCTTTGGATGTACGCACATGTTAAAGAATCATTTATATGCATAAAAACCTCAACCTCTGCCACTAAATAACGCTCTGGTTTAATTAGATTTGAAGGTCAGCGTGTGCTGATTGGAAAGAGCATGTTATATTATCATAAAACCCTTGGAAAAGTGTCAACATATTCTGATTTGACAGACCCTTATGTTTAATTCAATTGAAAAAGTGTGCATTAGTGCAAGCAAACCTTTCAACACATTTTTTGCATGGTTGTGTCACGTAGCCTAAAAAAGTACTTCATGTGATAAAATCTAAATTAACTAGTTTTGTTCAAGACAAAAATATGATTTAATATTACCGTATCAACAAGAGTACATTAGGTTAGATCCGTACATAAATGTAAAAGTTTACTTTTTTTTACACTATAATTATTTGATGAAACTATGCAGACAACCATAATGTAATGAACTAAAAAGTTAGATTTTTAAATATTAAATCTCATGCTCAACAAGTCTGCATTTATTTAATCAAAAAACAACAATATTGTGAAATATTATAACAATTTAAAATAACTGTTTTCTATTATTACATATATCTTAAGCTGAATCACTCGTCTTCAGTGTCACATGATCCTTCAGAAATCATTCTTATATGCTGATTTGCTGCTCAAGAAACATTTCTTATTATTAGCAATGTTGAAAATAGTTGTGCTGCTTAATATTTTTGTGGAAACCATGATTTTTTTCTCTCCAGGATTTCTTGATAAATTGAAAGTTCAAAAGAAAATAATTTATTTGAGACAGGAATTATTTGTAACATTATAAATGCATTTACTGTCACTTTTGATTAATTTAATGTATCCTTGCTGAATAAAATCATCAGTTTCTTTAAAAATATAACCATACACCTTTAAACTGTAGTGTTTGATCATGTTGTAAATAAATACAAATACTTATTAAATATAAAAACATTTTTGCAATGCAAACATAAGAGAATATTTGAACATGTCATGCAGAACTGCAAAGACAAATTAAAGTTTTGGCCTGTGCATTATTTGTATTTTGTACCCATAACTGAATGCAATGTTTGTGCCTGTAGCCTTTCATATTGCTTGAATGAATCGAGAAATAGTAAATAGTAGCCTAATAAAAAGTAGCCACATTCAAATTCAGCACTTCCAGTACAGTTCACTATATCTTTTGCACATAGTATGGTTCACATTAAATGTTTTCATAATGATTTGCTATGTAAATGTGTGGGTGAAATGGAGAAAACAGTTTCTACGCAGGGGTGTGTGTGTGTGTTTTCAGGGTGTTTGGGGGGGTCAGAAGGTGTTTGAAGGGTGACAGCTTGTGCTTTGATCATTAGAGGAAGAGGAAAGGACGATTCTTCATGGATTACACGATCAAACGCAGTGAAATGCACACAGACAAACAACCAAAAAAAAAAAGCACTCACTCTCTCACACACACAGAGCGACCGGAGATTTGCGAGTTCCACTCGACTGATAGTCTGACAGGTCTGACTAATCAATCACTCTCTCTTTTCCTCCATTCCCTGAATAAACGAAGGGAAAAAACATAAGTGGATCTCTCCCTCATTTCCAGTGAGTAAATTGTCACATATTAACCATAGCCCTTTTTTTTGCAAACACAAATGAAAAAAACTACAGAAACGAGTACAGCTTTATAATGTAAAATTATAATTATAATGTAAATGCTTCACTAATCAAGCAATTTACTTACAAAAGTATGTGGTTGATTGCTCCTAAGATATAAATATGCCATATAAAATACAATTAACATGACAGTACACAGAGACATTGTACACTGTTAACACAGAATAAAATACAGTTCACGAGCTGGGTATGCAATATTGTTCCAGGCAAGGAGTACAACTGTAATGAGCAGCTTAAATAAAATGAACATTTGATATGATGCTCATGACACAAAGTACATGATATTAACACCATACTCCAAAAATATCTGGAGTATGGAGACTATATAAAGAATTCTTTTCCTCCACGAAATGAAAAAATTAATTATTAATAATTGCGACTTTTTATCTAATACTGAATTTTGTTCTTACAATTGCGAGTTTACTGTAGTTAACAGAATTGTATGTCATAAACTCAGAATTACAAGAAAAAAGTTTTCTTTTTATTCTGTGGTGAAAACAAGCTTCCACAGAAGTAGTTACATTCAAAGTCAATCTGCAATCATTTCAACCTCTCAAACAGTAAATATAAACATGCACAAATAACTTCATACAGGAAAACCTGATTATGAAGTCCAACATAATCAGACGCATTAGTGTAAATGCTTATGTGCTTGTAAATATGTTGTAATGGGAGTGTGTGTGTGCTTCTCACTAAAGAATTCAGTGTGTTTTTCTCATTGTGAGCTGTAAACTCTCTCCACAGGAGTCTAACAACACCTCCCTGTGCCACTCAAAACACACAAACACTCTTGCTTGTTCTCTTGAAACCTGTGGTAACTGACCCGAGTCATTTTTATCATGGACTACACTGGTGTCTGGTAAAACCATTGATTTGGCAAACGAGGTCAAATCTGACTGTTGTTTACTTAAGACACAATATTGTCAGCAGACACCGCTGTGTTTGCCCACAAGTGGCTGCTGGCTTGTTAGTGGACATGTAATTTGTAAGTCTAAATGCTTGACAGCTTTAAAGCAGCACTATGTAACTTTTGGCGCTCTAGCGGTTAATAAACAGAACTGCACACATCCTGCCGAAGAACATTCGAACCGGAGCTACTTCTCTAAGTTTATGTCTATGGCGATTCACGCAGGTATGTGTTACTCCGCAGCGGTGACGACCCGACCAGGCTACAATAGTCCAAATATAAGTAGGCTACTTATTATAAGTGTACCGTAGTGATTCGGAATAAGACTAAAACGAGGTTTGGAAGATGAATTCATGATGTACTCGCTCATTATATACATTTAGCAAATTTTGAACACAGAAAAAGTTACATAGTGCTGCTTTAATCCTAAAAATAACTACACTATAAAAAGTGAAAATGTGCAGTTGATAACTTAAAAGAATGTGATCTCTAAAATGACTATTTTGGTGTAACATATAGTCACATATGTTGATGTAACAAATTCATCATATTCCATAACATTTTGGACATTAATAAACCTGTTAAATTAGATGTTACCACATTAAGCACATTTTAAGCTACAAGCCAACTATTATTTCTGTGTACACATAAAAAAAAACAGCAGTACAAAACTAGATTTGATTTTGATTTGAAACTTGTTTTAATTCATACTGATGCTCATATTAGATTACATTATTTACATTTTGGCAATATATTGTGACCACTGTCAAACTTTCATTTACAACTAAGTGCTTGTACATTGCAAATGGATGTATCATATGACTAACTGTCCAACAAATCCTTTACTGAGTTCATGTTAGATGCCCTTTAAATAAAATGTTGCCCTTTACCTGAGATATTACTTACATTCAAAGTATAATTTAATATCATCCATTCCTAAACTGGCACTGAGACCCATCTCCATTAAAGTTTTAACATCTCGTATATGAGAGGAGCCAATATTAGTTTTTATCATTTGATTTCCCTGGTTTTCTAAATCTGTGTCCCTCTCAGTTGCCTTTGGCAAATGGAAAAACTCTTCATTTAGCTTTGCTGATCACTTTTTGTTCATTAACTCAAGTGAACTGTACATTTTTTCCCCCGTCTGTTTAGATTTCTCTAAGACTAACCCACAGACCACAATTCACAGTTTCTGGCATTTTGTTTTAAAATATTTTAAACTCAAAGAAAGCATGAAGGAAGAATTTAATTAAGCAACCGAATAAGTCTATATTCATTGTATTCAATTAACGTTAATTAGTTAATTTGCAACGTCCCGTGCAAAGAAAGTACATTTGATAGTCGATCTGATCGGTAGGTCAATTGGTGTGATATGAAAATTGGGTGATGAAACGAAAATAAGAGATACAGTGTAAAAATGTTTTGTCAGGTCAGCTAAAATGTGTTTCATGTAGTAAAATTTAAATGAACAGATTTTAATCAAAGAAAAAATACTTTAATATGACTGAATCAACCTGAATACATTAGGTTACACCAATAAAAAGACTATACATGTACAGTCGATATTTAGTGAAATACAAAGGTTACACAAAGGTTTAAATGTTTCCACCCACATAATTGTGGCTCCTCAACTAATTATTATTTATACACCCATGGTCATATTTATACAGAGGTAAGTAGTGCTTTTCTAACAGCTGTGGTACATGTTGTTATATTGAAACTTGGCATGTAAATATAAACAATAAATTATAGGTGTTTATTTATTGACAAAATAAACACATTTATTAAAGTGCACTTTATTAACAGTATGATCTATAAATAATGTACTTTGTAAGATAAGCATGATAAATAAGACTGAAAACACAAAACAAGGATTAATGAAACAAAAGTAAAAGTAAATGATTTAAAAGCTTTCTAAAATCAGTTTGTATTCAATAGACAATGACACTATAATTTCCTCTAGCTTCCCTTCTTATTCAACTCTCTCCAACCATGTTAAAGTGGTGATTAGGTGTTAACTAATCTCCACTGTCCAGGGTGTGAGCAGCTCCTCTTTCCTTCACAGAAAGCAAAAGAGAAAAAGAAATGGTTCCAAAAATAATATTTGTGCTGCAATTCAGTATTTTTTTAATGATCTTTCTTTGTTCATGAAATCATTAATACTTGACAATTTTATTGAATTGATGCAACCTAAATGTGCCAACTGTAAAATTATTTAAGTTCTCATTATTTTAATGTGAAACACATCAATCATTCTGAAGATAAAGGTGAGAAATAGAGTTAGGGAGGCAAAAAAATAAACTTTATTTAAAGAATTTTTTCGCTCTAATAAATGGATGTGCTTCTATTACTCAAGACACAAATGAGGTTGGCTTCCAGGGGACCGCTGGAGATCAGTTGTATTTAACCTCCTGTGCCTGCCTTTCTTGATCGCTCTCTTTTTCTTACATGCTCTCATTAGAAATGTCAGTTTCTTAGGAAATACCCTAAAAGCAGTAACTTAGAGATATGATGACTTATGACGTTTTTTTCCCCCCTCCAACAAACGCTAAATTTATGGCTATTATATTGGTTGTGATAACATAACATAACCCAACCCTCATCTTTTTCTTGCAGTCCTTCAGCCCATCCCCCTTGAGAAACCTCAGCTGAAGTCTCGTCCTTTCCTTCTCTTCCTCCCCCTCGCCTCCACCACTTCCCCTTCATTTCAGTAAAATAGATTTTTCAATTATGCGTAGAGTGGAGGGAAACGTCTCCCATCTCAGGGCTTGACCCCATTTGGGTGCTGAGTTTTCCTTGGGCAAATTGACACACTTAACTCCTACTCTTACAATAATCGGGCCAGATGAAGGCCTCTCATCATAAAACCAGACGTATAACGCTCAGGCAATCAATGAGGCAACCAATACTTTATTGAACATGAACGCATTACACTTGCTTGTGTTTAAATGAAGTTTGTGGTATTTTACTGCAGATTTACCACAAATCACTTTTAAATCAAATTTCAATATCTCTACTGGGTTTCCTTCTCTGGTCAAGGACTGATAATCTTTCATATGCACTAATATGAAACGCTGGATGAATTAGTTATACAATTTGTGTGTAAAGTCTTAAAAATAAAACAGATTTTTATATTTTATAAAGGAAATGTGAGCGATGCTGCAGTATTCTGGTTGGTTGCAAGGTCATTGCTATACGGTTGGTAAGGTGTTAGCATACAGCTGTGAGGTTGCTAGGGTGTTCTGGTTGGTTGCTAGCAGTGATATTATCATGAATAAAAATTCAAATGAAAACGATTTTTTTTTTTTTACTGTATTAAAACAAAAAGAAAAACTGAAATTAAACTAAAATTCATTTTTATGAATCCTAAACTAAGCTAAAATAAGAAAAATATGGGCACATTTATTGTAGTTTACTAAAGCAATAAGCCCCAAGAAGCTGTGGTTTACAGTGAATTTATAACAGCTAAGGGCTGTTGTTAGGCACGACGCGAAGCTTAGCTGTTATAAATTCATTGTAAACCAGGGCTTCACGGGGCTTATTGCTTTTATAAAACAGTTATTCCATATATGTAGCAAGGTTTCACAAAATAAAACAGAGCAAATAAAGTGTAATGATATTAATAAAAACAGTATTCTTCCACCAAACAATGTAGTTCCTCAGAATCAGTTGTGGTTTGCAACAAAGTGGTTGCCAAGCAACACACAAAGTAAACAAAGGTGTATGTTTGTAGAGTAATTTACAACAGCTTCGAAAGTGGCTCAACCAATCAGAAACAAGGACCGGAACTATCCGTTTTATAAATGGAATGTTACAAAACCTATAACGAAACGGTACATAGGCTATTCCAACAATCAAATATTGTTGGAATATGTACAAGAAAATACTATATCAGTCTTTCTACTTCAAAATTTCACATTTAATTGTTTTACTTGCAGTTTCTTTGTAATTATTTGTGAAATTAACTAGCAATTTGAAAATTGGTTCTATAACATTTTTTGTGTAGACAATGCCACTGTCTAAATAAACTAAAAACATACAATAATATGCTGACAAAATAAAAAAAATTAAATATAAATTAAATCCAAATTAAACATTTAAACTATAGTAACCATATAGTAATAATAGCTCATCTGCATAAAATTTGTTGCATCACTCATGTTGCTGGACAACTCAATTAAATAAAATATGAATTACTTCAGGTCACCTGCAAATCATTATCAGCATCCCTGTAGAAAGCTCCACTAATAAAATTAAATATATTCAAAGTGAATCTTAAAACAGCATGCACGCACTGGCAAAAACACAATCACTGCTGTCCAGTAAATGAGATACAAAGGTATAGTTTGTTGTCTGCATTTCCTGATCAGTGATTCAACGCCTCAGGTTATTAAAGGCAGCTTAGGGGCTGAGTATCGGTCTCTCTCTCGCTCTCTCTGTGTGTGTGTGTGTGAGGGCTAAAGGGGAATTGATTGCCTCCGGCCATGTTTAACATGCTCTAACAGAGACCAGATACGGTGAGACGTGAGTCAGATGAACACATAAACTCACACACAAAGGGTGAAGCAGACCAATGGTTGGACTCTCGTCCTCTGCCCCTCACCCTCCCTCTCTCTCTCCCTCTCTGAGTGGGAGCAGCTTGAGACTGGGCGGATAGTAATTATGGGGGAGTCACGGTTCACGCGGTCCACACCCCTCCCATTGTCTCCAAGTGTGTGCGTGTATGTGTGGAGTACATTGAGAGAAAGTGCGTGGTGGGTAACATGCTGTAAGGGCGTGCTGACAGCAGCATCTGGACAACAGTGGGTGTTGAAAAAGCTCTCGCACGCGCACACGGCGACACACACTCACACGGGGCTGCAGAGCAGAGAGGTTCATGCCATCTTGTGGTCAGTGAACACAACGCATGTGGGTCATCTCTGTTATGCAGCAGCCTATATTTCTACATCACATACTGCATGTCTTTATATACTTTAAACATAATTTAATCAAATGTATACATTTCTCAGGGATTAAAGTTCTCCGTCGCTACGACGGATTTCCGTTAATTGCAGCGAGTCTACGACGGATTTCCGTCAATTGGAAAAAATGAGAGGAAAAGAAACATTTAGCGCATTGTTGTTGTACCAAAAACCATTCCGTCAATTTGAAAAAAAATTAGGGGAAAAGAAACATGTAGCGCATTGTTGTTGTTGTTGTTCTGCCGGCACACCAAAAATCATCCCCGCCACGGCTGCAGCTTCTCAGTGACAACATAACGCCGCTCGCATCATTCACAGTCGGGTTATTAGCAGAGAACACAGAGCAGAACTTGAATTTCGGCGCGGGATTGCGGCTATTAATAACAATTCTACTCATTCCCGCAGGTTCCGCGCTTATAACGCGATGACAGATGACGGAACGTATCATTTGCAGGTGCTTTTGAGTCTTGAGAACTCACTCGCGGGCTCTCGTTTTCTGTGCGCCCACAGATCTCGATAAGGAGAGTGACAGATTTTAATAGTTATTAAGGGAGTTTGCAAATGTGATATTGATTTAATACAACAGTTCAGTAAACAAGTACTGCCTGATTTTGCTCTATTTCTTCAACGAAAATAGTTCCAAATATAGTAACAGCTCAGCTGCTGCATCTCTAAAAGCAAACACAACGGTGTTTAATTCATTCAATGAAAGTGCGTTATTGAACGAATCTAGTGAGTCAGTGATTCATGATTACCCATTCATAAAGAAAGTCACTTGCTTCATTCCTGAATGAATCAGGTGTTCGAACGAATCAATTGAATGAATGATTCATATGGCGTTATTTTACTGTCAAATGTGGAGAGCACACTGTTGTAGCGCGAAAGTACAGTGCTATGATGCGCGAGCACGAATCTCTCCGCTCGCACGCGGATTGCCTTTGCTCTCGCACTAAACCGGACGCCCGTTCTCAGATATGCGCTGCTCTCTCCCAGAGAGTGTGTGCGCACTTAAAACCTGTCCGTTGCAATCGCGAATCTCTCCTCTGCTCAAAGTGTGCCTGTGTGCAGGCTCAAACTGTGTCCTTTGCACTTGCAAATCTCTCCGTGCTCTTGCGCTAGAAATAAATTATTTTCGCACCTGCAATGTAAAAAATAAGTGTCATTTTAACTGTAAAATTTTGTAAATACGCTACGAAAAAAAACTGTTAATAGGTTAACAGTAAGTTCCCGTACTATATACAGGGAAAAACTGTAAAATATCAAACCAGACATTTCTCATTAGTTTAGTTATTATTGTGTTATAGAGGGGTTTGACCAACCAGTTAGACAGACAGATTACTAGGTTATTTATTTGCACAAATCATCCAAGCACCAGCCAGTTCTAATATACTTTTGATTAATATGACTAAATATTAAATTGTAACAAAATTAAAGATCCATCTTTGATTGTCAAAAGAATTCCAGCTAATTAGATTTCACGTAGCATTTTTAACGGTCAGTCATGGAAGTCTGATATGTTGATAACTTTTGACAACGTTTAATCCAGGTGCGAAAAGAATCAATTTCTAGCGCAAGAGCACGGAGAGATTTGCGAGTGCAAAGGACACAGTTTGAGCCTGCACACGGGCACACTTTGAGCACGAGGAGAGATTCGCGATTGCAACGGACAGGTTTTAAGTGCGCACACACTCTCTGGGAGAGAGCAGCGCATATCTGAGAACGGGCGTCCGGTTTAGTGCGAGAGCAAAGGCAATCCGCGTGCGAGCGGAGAGATTCGCACTCGCGCATCATAGCAATGTACTTTCGCGCTACAACAGAGCGCTCTCGACATTTGACAGTAAAATAACGCCATAGATTTAGTGATAAAATTAGTGACTTGCCGCCACCTGCTGGCGGATTTAGTTTCATTTTTAGCGTATAATCTCAGTTATTTAAATCATTTAATATTTCTGTATTCATAATTTTATATTAAAAACATTAATCTCCACATGAATGTATGAATTTAATTGCACTCATGCCACCTCTGAGCCTCATTAAACGTCTGAAAATGTACCTACAAGCCACTTTTGTGTTCTTCTGTGCCACCTCTGTAGTAC